ATTTTGACTAGGGTCGGACCTAGTCCAAAATTGAAAATGTATTTCCTTCTTGGTTCTTTGCTCAAAAAAATTTTAGGATGTTTTATTTTTATTTGTTTTAAGCACTAGAATATTTATGCAAAGTTTTAATCCATTTGGAAAAATCCTCGAAGAAAAAAGTGACAAAATTGATTTTGACTAGGGTCGCCCCTAGTAGGGTTTGGGGAATCTGTTAACAGAAAACAGAAAAATAGCTGTTTTTCGACAAAAATCTGTTAACTGAAAACAGGTCACAAAAACAGATCTGTTTTCTGTTTTTCATTTTTACATAAAATTTACAGAAAAAAAAATTTCTTAATTTTTTGAAGAACTTAATATATTTTTCTAGCATTTCTAATTGAAATGTATTTACTATTTTAATGTTTTTTGGATGTTTAATAGGTTTGAAATCATTATCAAATTTATGGTTAATCATTATTAATTTTGCAATCGAAATTTTAAATTTGTTGAACCTTTTGTAGCATCTACTAAAGTTTAAAAATATAATTAACAATTTTACAAGATATTTTTTTATTCAGAAAGATTTTTTGAATATTTCAAATAAAATATTAAAGCTTATGGAACTTTTACAATGCAACAATGCAATGTTACTTAAAGGTATAAATTTTTTTGGATTTTTTTTTGCATTTTTATATTTCATTATATTTTTTAAAGTTAATTAACATAAAAAAATAAGAAATAATAATGCTTAGCTCTAAAATGTATGCTTAACTGCTTAAAACCACCAAAAAGTTTCATTATCTTAGAGAAACACTTAGGATAACTCAGTTTATTTTGAATTCTAGAAAAACAGGAAAACAGCTGTTTTTAAAAATCAAAAACCGAAAACAGACTGTTTTTCAAAAACAGCTGTTTTCCACAAACCCTAGCCCCTAGTCCAAAATTGAAAATGTATTTCCTTCTTGGTTCTTTGCTCAAAAAATTTTTTTTCATCCAAAGTTTAATTTTAAAAAAATCACAGTGAACTTTTAATTTGAAAAATTCGTAAGAAAGGAAAGTTTTTTGCTTTTTTTGAAGCAACGGCTGTTCCTACCTTGCCCAAAAACAATACAGCTCTTCTATAGAGCAGCACGGATCAAATGTAAAAAACTAGAAGTCTCTACGATGTCTCGTTATTGAGATTTCTTGCTGATTAACTTGCTTGCTTGCTTGTTTGCTTACAGAAAGCATATTTTGCGATTTTCTCAGCAATGCCGCAACCAATTTGAAATCTGTTTTTTGCAAAAGATGTGAAATTCAAGGCACAAACTTTTCATCTCTGAACATTTTAAGCTATCTTGCTCCATATCCTCACAAAATTCTAAAATCTGATTTTTTAATCTGAACAAAACCAATAGATTCACCCTTGAAAACGGTGTGAATATAAAAATGTAAATCGAAATTTGGAACTTTTCTAATATCAATAACAAATTTTTTTTTTCTCTCAATTGTGTACGTCATGAGTCTGTGGAATCAGTTTAAATCAGTTAAAATTCAAATTTTGCACACCAGCTTTCTGTTGCAGAAAAAATTTTGTCCATGGACATTAATTTGATTTATTTCAATCGAGGACCCCCTGTACTCAAATATAGTAGTGGCTACTTGCGCACAGTTCATCAGTTCAAAAAGAACTTGTTCGTATTACATAATTCAGCCTCAATTTCTATTTCTTCTTTCACAATATTTCTCTCCGAATCATCGATTAAGATGTAAACTTTTCTTTCTCTGATTCATGCATCAGAGCAATAAGCTACAAGCAACAAGATATAAGGAGAAAAGAGAGACAATTCAAGTGAAGGTGATAAAGATTATCATGATTGTTTATAATTTCGTGAGATGACGACAAAGTTATGAGTGAAATTTTCAGAAAGGTGAAACGATTATTTACTTCATGACTTTTTAAAAAGCATTTAGGAACAAAATTGATAGCTCATCATCTTTTATTTTCAATTCAGTTTCTATTTTTTTCGAGAAAATCTCATGCTTCCAGCAATTGAGATTTAAATAAAATGATTTAAGATTCCATCTTGTCAGTCATAAAACTTCAATTAAGGTTTTTGTGCGTGTGAATATTTTTCTATAACTAGGCATTTATCAAATATAGCAATCACTTAATTATCAGACTTATTCATTGAAATTTGATAGCTTTACTTTTCATGCAAAAAAACTTCATTTTAATTAAAAATTACTAAATTAATTACTTAATTTTGAAACAAATCAACTCCCTTAAAATCAAACATTATCCTAAAATCATCAGGAATCAATCAGATTCTTAATTGATTTTCAAAAATTGAAAGAAAAACATCACAGTCAACAAAGAAAATATTTATTGCATATTATTCAGTTTTATCCAAGACTTTAAACAGTGTAATTAATTTTAATTTCCAATGCAGATTTTTGTTGTATTTTTAAATTGAAAGCTTGTTTGTGATTCTATAAAGGAAAACAAACGTTTTTTAATCGATTTTTGTAGATTTTTATGGACCAAAAAAGCATAATCCGTGTTTTGATTTTTTGTTGGTTTGCTGCGATTCATAAGAAACAGTATATCTTAAATCTGTTTGTAAAGCTATCCTTTATCTGAATTTTATTTCCATGGATTATTAAGAATCCGGTAAACATTTTTCGAAGAGATTAAACCATTCTTCATAGATCGTATCAGATCGTATTAGTAACGAACACTGTTGCAAATGTAGATGTCTACACTAGATGAAGAATGTAGATTCTTCAATAATTTTTGTCTAGCTAAGAAACTTTCTTCATGAAGATTGATTCTACAAGTAGATAGAAAATTTTTTGTTTTGTTCCAAAAAATTTCTACTCAAATCGAATCTATTCAAATCGAGGCAAAGAATCCATACAAAATCGAATGTTTTGTTCCAGAGTCGAAAAAAAGTATCAAAACAATGAAAATTTTGATGGTTATTGTGCAAATTTTCCCTCGTTGCTTAACTTTTCTTATGTGTTTTAGATAACTTAATTTATTTCAACGCATATTCAAATTGTTTTTTAATAGAAATTCACAAAAAAAATGTTTTTTCAACAAATCAAAAATATGAGAACCTTGCAAATGTTATTTCACCGAACAATTTGTAAGGTTTTTGAATTTAAACTTTTTAAAACCGTTAATTTTATATCGATTTTGTAAGTTTTTACCAGTTTTTACTTGAATTTTTTAACTTTAGTATTGATTTTTCTATTAATCACGCTTATTGCAGTAATATTTATGTTTTAAAAATATTTGCTGAAATGTTTTTATCGAAAATATTTGTTTTGTAAATAATTCAAATCGAAGAAAACAGGAAGAAATCTACTCAAATCGAATATATTGGTGAGTAAAAAATTTCTGTTCAAATCGAATCTACTCAAATGATTTGGGTAAATTATGATTTCTTATCCCTGTTTTTAATTTTCTAAATATTTTCTCAAACATTGCGATTTGGAATAACTTGTTTGCTTGCCTTATAATTGTTTATGACCTTTTTATATTCTCGATAATATTAGGCATGCAATTGCATTGTTAAGACAATTTGACTTGATCAGAAGATCTAGATTATTTTTGACAAACTGTGCAATGAGTCACTTTGTGAACTGTAATGTCTTTATTTCACTTGCCTTAATTTTACGATTGCATTATTTTTTTTTTCCAAATTTGCATCATTCATGCTCATTTATGACAGCGCGAATTTACCTTCCGTTAATAATTTAATTCCTTTAATTCATAATATGTTTCAATGGTTCTCAAACTGTGTGTTTTGAAAGAATTTCAAATGTTTTTTGATCTTAAAACCGTATTGGTAATAATTAATAGTGCCGCGATATTTTCAGGTTTTCAGATATTGAAATTTTCTAAATCTAATTTGAGATGGAAATATTTTATCATTTTGTGTCGCGATATCTGACATAGACCCCATGCTTTCGTTTCTACTTAATAAAATTAATAAGAGAACGACGACTGATTGAAAAGTTTGTTTACGAACAGTGTGACGAAAAGAATGTTATGCTAAAATATATTGAAATAAATAAAGCAATTTTATGGTCAAGTATCTATGAAATGTATTTTGAGAAAAATTAACTAATAGTCTTAAATATTGTTTGATAATAAAAACATTGTGTAACTTTCAAAATTGTTAATAATTTCCACATCATTTCTCTTGAGTTTTGCTTTTGATGAGGAAAAATTTGAGGCACTACATATGTACAAGTTCTTTTGAATTTACTTAAAGCTCGCTCACTCATACAGAAAATGAATGATAGAGTAATTCATAACAAAGCGTACATTATGCTTTTCAACACTTACCGTTTTTCTCACTGGTTGTTGACTACAAAATAAAGACAAGTATTCAGTGATAATTACCATACATTGGTTCGACAACATTAAAATCATTAATTATTATTTATTGGTAATTGTCTGTGCTTTATTGCGAAAATTGACTTTATTGCGAACAGTTTTTTCTTGGCAAGATCATTTAAATGTAAATTGTAGATTATTATGATGATAAGAATTTACAAAACTTTTCATCAGAAATTAAAGTGTCACTTCTTTCACCACGTGATCAAAAATTAACGGTTAAATTTTCAAAAATTACTAACCTTCAAAAAGGTTTACAGTCAATTTGATTGTGGTAGTTATGTTTTTTTGGAGCGATTTAATAATGTTGCAAAAATAATTTAAAAGTTTCAGTTTATTATCTACCTGAAATCTTCAGTTACTTTAAAGGAATGTTTAGAACGGTACAAAATTTAAACAATTATAATCTAGTCTTTTGCTAGTTTTTTGAGTCATTTTTACCAGTCGTTATTAAAAATCCAGGAAGTATATAAACTTCTATTATTTCATCATTATAAATGCAAAATTAAATAATAGGCAGACTCCAATAATTTTATGCTTATGCTGCTAACGACATAAAAAATGATATAGTTTTTACCCCCTGTTCATTATTTAACGGTTCTTAATAATTCGAAAAATTCGACGCAAGCAGAAAAATAGCAGTCAAAGCATAAACACAAATTTTTTTAATTAACTTATGAAAAATGGACGGAAACGGCTGCTTTGTGTGTGGAAACGATTGTAGTAATTCTACGCTTGTGTTGATTAATTTAGAGACTAAAAAGTACAAAACAAGATACACAATTTTAATTGGAAATTTAATAAATAGTGAATATGAATTGAGGATTTCAAAGAGTGATAAAATATGTGAAAAATGCTCAGTTCTAATAGAAAAGTATGATGAGCTACAGTACGAGACGAAGACAGTCAAGAGCGTCCTTAGTCGACAAATAGCCAACACATACAGCATAGAAACAGATGAGGAGCTTGTGTATATGGACAAATCCAAAATTTTCTGTGAGCTTCGTTCCAATGGAATTGATGATTCAAAGAAATATTCCTGCAAAGTATGTCCAAATTTTGTTACAACATGTATTGATACAGTCAATTCGCATATTATCTATCATAAGATAATAGAGGAAGAGAAGCATACTTTAAATAATACTATAAAGGAAGCAAAAATGGCAACAACAAGTAAATCTCGAGTGCAACAAACTGCGCGGGAAGTACCAAAAATACCTGAAAAAGTCAAATCGTCAAGTTCTGTAGTAAATGTTACAATTAACAACATCCAGGAAACTCAACAAGCTCCAAAACAGCAACAACATCAACAGCTATCTGCTCAATATAGTATAAATAGTGGATCTCAAGAGATTGATCAAGACACTCTGGATTCACTAATCGATATGAGCTTACTGGACGATGAATTCTATGACTCAAATCTAAAGGATCATAAATGTGCTGTGGAATATTGTACAGAAACTTTTGCTTATGCATGTGACTATGTCCGGCATTTGAAATTAAAGCACAAGTCTAATTTGAATCATATATTTTCGGCCTTAAAAAGCAATCTTAAAAGACCAAAAAAGATATCAAAATTTATGTGTCCATATTGCTTCACTAAAACAAGTTCAAATGAGCAACTTGAAATGCACGTGAAGCAGCACGAAGAAATAGCTGGAAAACCTGCACAATTATCCGAGAGAATTGGAGATTTCGTAGCGAGTCTAATGCAAGCATGTCGCTGTACAATATGTGATTGTGAGATTCTTGATCCAACAGAACTCGAATGCAATCACGAAATAGTTAAAAACGGAATGGCACCGAAGTTGAATTGTATTTTCTGTGATTGCTATTTTTACAATGAAAAGCTCTACAACAATCATCTAGCTCTAGTTCATACACAATGCTTCGTCTGCGGATCTGCATTCAATGATAACAATGTCCTTAATGATCACATATGTTCTCACTTGAGGTAATTGCTACCTAATTTACATAGATAAAATACTCAAACAATCATGCTTTCATTTTTCAATTTTAGTCATTCTGAATTCGCTTGTCTATTCTGTAAAGACATTTATCAAACCAATAAGAATCGGCTAGATCACATGAAATCAAAGCATTCGGCAAACTGTTGCTCGTACTGTGATGATTGGTATAAAAATACATCAGAACTTGAGCACCATTTGCGTTATTCTCATGCTGACAAGAGATATAAAGAGGTATGTTATGATTAGTCAAAAGTTTATAGGATATGGAATAACTTTTATATACTTTAGCAGAAATCCAGCATTTGTGACTATTGTGGAGCTACATTCAAGAATAAACAGTTGTATGAAGTCCATTTACAAACAGATCACAAGACACGCAAGATCTATAAATGCTCTACATGCAAACAAGATTTTCGGTTTCGATATTTGCTAATGGATCATGTTTCATGTGCCCACAATCGCACAATAATTGACAACGAAGTCAATTTTTATAAATGCTGTTTCTGTATGAAAGGATTTCCATCACAAAATCGGAAGCTATTTATCGAGCATCTCGAAAAACATCAATCGAATTCGACTTTCTGTTTTGACTGTAATACAAATATTGAATCTGTTCAGTCTTTAGAGTCGCATCGTGAAAGATTCCATCAAGATTTTTCAAAAACAGTCGATAAGTCCGTTGTTGCTGAAAATTCTAAAAGACATGCAAATGTGAAGCAAAATAATAATGGCTCGAAAATGACTTTTGTGCCAGCAACTATAAATCATAATAAATTAGCTGGAAAAAATGAGTTGTCAACGCAACAATCGACGAGAACTAAGCAACGTCCAATAAGTGAAGTCATACCTCAACAGCATAATGTACAAATTGCTGCAACATCACCAAAACAGCCTCAATATGAAATAATAAATAACCTTAATATTCAGGAAGAAGCGCAGCAACAAACACAGTCTCAACAAATAATGATCCAGAACGAGGACGGAAGTTTCCTAAATAATTTGATCCTGACTGAAAATGGTGAATTGATTATACAGAATTTAGATGGGCTTTTACCAAACGGACAGGAGTCTGATGAAGGCACACAAATTCAAATTAGTAATTTAGAGCAGTTTTTAATGGAGCAAGGCTTATCGTCAAACACAGAAATATCTTACATACAGCCAGACATTATATCTGATGGACAAGTTGTCATACAAAGTGATGATGGAACCACACAAGAAAGCTTGATGCAAACTTATAAGGAAATTTTTGAGCCTGATGATGAAATTACAGCCGAACTAATAGATTCATCAGATGCACAACAAATGGAACATCAAACACAAAATATTCTTTTAAATGGTGAATATGTCTTGCAAACCCCATCAAGTACTTCTCAACAATTAACACAACAACAAACGAAGGCTAATAATAACAATAATGTCCTGCAGGCGACAATTGAACATGTCGATGTAGGAAATGCTCAAGTACTTGATGCTGCCAATCAGTCTACTTTAGATGAACTTGGTGATATCTTGGTAAGATACTTTTAATTTTAAGTGTGTATCCATAACTTAATTTGATTACTATTTATTAGCTGGAAGTAGCGGCCGCAGCAGAGAAGGAAAAGAAACCCAAAGCAGGCGATCCAAATCAGAAAGTAATGAGAGAAACTTTGTGGGGAAAGAAACGTCCAGCAGAGCCTTTTCGTGAAGCTAATGCCAAGCGAAGAAGTACAAAACAGCTAGAGATTCTGCCTGAAACTGAAACGCCAGCTAGAAACTTTTCTCAAGCATATGAGTTCTTCGTGAAAGGCTTTGATGCTAAAAAGCAAAAACAACTTTAAGTCATTGATATAATTACACAAAGTTGATCTCTAGACTATAAATTCTTGTATTAAATTCTCTTTAGTGGCCTTTCGCAAGAATATCTATAAAGAATGGAGAACTGTGTACATACAATTCATTTTAAAGTAATCATTAAGGACATATTTTTTTTTTTATATCAATATCAACTTATAATTTTGAAAATTTTTGACTTTCAAGCATTAAAGTAATTTCTTTCGATAGTTTTTAAGGCGAAAATCTAATGATTAATTAATTATGACCCTTTTATCACTGTTAATTGTATAGTTTAATAATGAAAATACAATGATTTGTAGTTATCTAGTGAAACATTTGGGAAATTCCAATAAAATGATTATAATTTCTTGTGCAGAATAATATTCCACATGCTTGTTTCTATTGCTTTATGAGAGCTTTAATTAATATCTTCCTTCTACTAATCGATGAAGGTTTAAAATTGATTAGCTTTTTCAAAAACCAACTTCTTGTATAGAAATAATTCAAGATTTTACACTGAGTATGCTTGATTACGATACGAGACTTAGAAGATATGAAGGAAATGATTGATCAAGTAACGATTGTAAGGATCATAAGAAGGGGCTCTCGTTATTTTTAAATTGAATGAAAATTTTATCTCGGTAGGCTTTGAAATTCACAAAATCTCATTAATATTCAGAATTTCAACGAAAGTAGTTTGATTTAAATTTTCAAGATGGAAAACGCTGATCAAGTCAATTTTAATAAGTCGAAGACGTCTGAAGGTATTATTAAACATAATAAGAAAGTAGATATAAAATATCATTATTAATTTTATGTTCAGTCTTACATGAAGAAATGGAAGTGAAAAGTGCTAAGCGCCAAAGAAAATGTGTCAGCTTTGATCCTAATTTGGTTGAGAAGGAAGAACGAAAGTCTCATCCAAAAACTCCATTAAGAGAATCTCCACAAGAATCGAATCAAATGGATAAGAACACAGCAAAATATTCACGAATTCCTATGGAATATTAAAATAATTTAAAGAGATTAAGGACGTACGGTAATATTATATTATTTACTTTTTTTTTCATTTATATATATATATTTCTTTATTTTCACCTTTTTTGTCTGTTTAATAAATCACAAGGAATTACATATGAAAATTATATCTTTATGGATTATGGATGAATAAATTTTTCTTTTATCAACAATCTTAAAACGTGACAACTATTCAAAAACTTAGTAAATGTAAGTATTTCATTCTCTTATCATCTTGTCTTATTTCCCTTCGAAATTCTATTTGCTTTTTTTCTCCCATGATATGATTTACAATTAGTGCTATTGCATTTAAACTAGGGCAAACCATTAAATTAATTTATTGTAATTTATTTTGACAAAAGTGAGAATTATCTTGCATGCTTATTTAATCCACAATTCATCTAAGGATATCCTGTTCTCATACATTTAATATACATCTCTTTTTCTATAAATAAATTATAAGGATACACTTAACTTTAATAATTATTAGTCAACCAAATGAAACATTATTGGAACTTGAAGGAAGTGGCTTCGACTTTTAAGTTCGTCAGTGACGACATGTTTTCTTTCAACCTTAATATCGTTTGGCATGTATCTCATCATCCAAAACATAATAATCACTTCTAATAGCAAGCATCACTGAAGAACAATTTAATGGGTTTTTCTCTATATCTACGATTATTCGCAACTCACAAAATTTTGTTGGAACCTTTAACGGCTTTCTCGATTTTAAATATATTAATTTGTTTTTGTGAGTTTAGCATAAAATTCAAAATCCAAAAGTCCGTTGAAAAATCATCGATGCCATTTAAAGTTTTTTATGTCATAATTATTATCTTTAATTATTTTTCTTAAGAAACTAGATTAATCCTTGTCCTCATTTTAAAGCACTAAAGCAAAGAAAATTTCATTATTAATTATTAATAAATACGTTCTGATTCTCAATCTTTATCATGTTATGTGCATGCAAACATTTTCATTTAAGATTAATGCAACAATCAATTTGTGCTACTTGCATTTCTGCTTTTACCGTCATTTTCATCTATGACATTAGCTCTATCATACAATATTCTTCCATGAAAAAGTGTCTTTCACATTATTCTAGAATTTTTTTTTTAATTCGTTTTTAATTAGGGGTCATTCACCAATAATGCCCAACACAAAATTAGATTTCCGATCCTTTTCTCTATTTATGTTACACAGATCAAATGTTGAACATCATTGATGAATCATCGTTTAGTTAATTTGCATAAAACTTTACAGCTTTGAATTTTATTAATGCTAATTTTGATATCTAAACTTTTCACAAGAAGAATAAAAACATTAAAAAGTTTCTATAATTAAGAAAATAAATGAATTAAATGATTTCCATTTTTGTAATGGTAATTCACCATCGAAATCGATGTTTTGCGAACATCATGAATCCATGATTGAAGGAAATCTATAAACAACTAACAGTACGGATCAAAGAGCTTTAAAAAGATGTGGCCATGACAAAATCTCAATGCTCGACTTTGTTTGTCATTTAATTAATTTGGATTCTTAATCATTTACACATTTTAACAATCCTTTTTTTATAAAAAAAAATAAAATTTTGATTAAGACAAAAATAATGATTCTCTGTTGTGTTGCGAATGTGTAAGATGATTTATGTATGTTATGTACACTTAAATATCTAAGCTTATTCTTCATCAGTATCACCGTCAGATAGATAACCAGTTGACAATCCAATTAGCTGAGGAGCACGCGGTCCAGATATCACTTGTCTAAAAAGTGTGTAATGATAATGAGTTTAATGCAGTTTAATGATTTACATGGGCTATTAGATTTAAAGTGCATTTTCTAGCATTTTTGAACCCAAATATTTTCTTGAGCAAAATGCACTTCTGTAAATTACGAATAAACATGTCTTTATGAGCTTTCTATATACGTTAAGTACGCGTGAGTTTCTCAATGAATAGTTTAACGAAACAAATGAAGAACTTACGCAATTCGTCGATAATGATTAAGCCATTCTTCGAGCATTTGAGCAACGAGAAGCGGTCTTTTATGCAACTTTTGATGAGCCACAAGCAATCCTCCTTCCGTAAGACAAACATCAAGCCACTGTCTCATGATTGTCTCTTCATGACCAATCTGAAATAAATTATATTATAATTAAAGAAAATAGTAATACTTATAAATAGACAAGAAATTACCTCGGCTTGCGTTAAGAAATGAATAGGAATAAGTTTGTTTTCACAATCAACGAGTGGCAAAAATGTGACATCTTCTTCTTCCTCACGTGTTGAATCGAGTCTTTGATAAGGCTCTGAAGGAACTAAAGCACTAAAGTGACCTAAATTGTAAGCAGATAACAACATTAAAATCATGCATAAGTCATTTAATAGCTTTAATATACCTCTTGTATAACCTAAAGCTATTGGTGAGCGAATACAGAAACTTTGTTCCCATAGCAAAGGCAAATAGAGACCTTAGAAAAGACAAAAATAAAAGAAAATGTGAATGAATACAATGAATAGAAGAGAGAAAAAAAAAACAAAAAAGTGTTTACAAAATACCTTCAAATCTAGCATATCCAATGTCTTCACCACGAAAACTTTTGACATATTTTACACCGTAAACAATTATTGGCCTTCGAAAAATGTGAGCTAGTACAAAAATGTGTAACTGTTCTAAAGACGCCCCAGGTTGACTAGCTAATGATAAAAGCTGTTGCCAATCATCTTCCCATTGTGCCTCTTCTAAGGTGAAATGAAGTAATGCTGCTTGAAACATTTCATATTCTCTCCAACGTGAATAGAAGAGATGAGCACATTGATGTAAACTTTCTGAGAGAGCACGACGAAGAACATTATCACGATCAAATACACCCCAAGATGCCTGCATACAGCTATCAAGAAGACAATCGCCAGCACTTCGATTCCATAAAACCATAAGTCTTGATCCAAGACGTGAAGTGATTTCAAGTGACCAATTCAATGCTGGCGGTGGATTCTCTAATTGTTTCTGTGCATCTCGATCCAACAATTCATCATGTAATTGTTCTTGAACAGTTAGTGGTAGTTCTTCGATATCTGATGGCAGTGAAAACGTTGCATGTTCATTTACATAATGACAATTAAAAGGAGATTTCCTTATGCGCAAGATTGCACAAAAGTGTCGACGAATATCTGTTGCGATATCAGGAGCTATATAACTTGGTACACACTTAATTCCGCTTGGTCCATTTGAAGAAATTTGTGCTAATAATCGTGACAAAAGCTCATCTCGATGAAAACGAATTGCAAGATGAATAAGTGTAAGCCCAACATCAAAGGCAGATGGTCTATTTAATAGTAAAACTTCATTGGTAGTTAAGGAACGAGCTACAGTACCGCCACGCGATAAATAATTATCAACAGCTGCCAAGTTATTCTCAACAACACCGATACAAGCATTCAACCATATCCAATCAGCTTGACGCTTTAATTGTCTTATTCGACGCTCATGCTGAGCTTCTAATTCGTTGCTACTAAGCTGATACTTACTACTACTATGATTAATATTATTGTTGTTGTTGTTGTTATTTAGGGTGCTGGCAAGATTCGGATTACTTATCATATTCTCATAATTGTTCGGTAAATTCTTTAAATTGTTCTTCGCTGTATAACTATTACTATTACTTATTATATCAGATGACACTTTCATCACCGACGAATGCGATGATGAGCTTGTCAGATTATTTGCTATAATATTAAAATTACTTGCACCAGACATTAGATCATCAAGATTCTCAATATAATCATTTTCACCCGCGATAATCTTTTGAATATTACTTTGATCTCGTTTAGTTCCACACATTGAGCATTTTATGCTCTTTGGATAGTTACTATACGTACACACCTGAAATAATTATTTACAATTTATTGATAAACATAAATAGTATGCATGCATGAATTAATGCTAATATTTACCGAGCACTGCCACTTCCTATTATTATTTTCATTATTATTGTTATTATAACACAGTCGTAAGTTTTCAGCATCTGATTTTGTTGTCGTTGTTGTTGTTGTTGCTGCAAGATTGCTGGATGAAGCAAGTGGACTATTGTTTTTATTATTTTGGAACTTTCCGTTTATGTCTGGATCTGACGTATGTATTTCTAACTTTTTGACATCATCGAGTAATGAGGCTGTTGGTGATGAATCGTTTCTGTTGATGAAAATACTATTTCGGGGGCTCGAAGAGTTATTGCACAACTTCCGTGAATTTTCATCGCTTATATCATTTCGAGATTCCACTGGTTCCACTAATGTTGTCGTTTCCGTTAGCGTTGGACTTAAACTAGATAGAATAGAAACAAAAAGAAATTTGATTTATGCTCAATCAGGTGATTTGAAGCGAGGAAAAAAAATCATCAATTTTCCTTTCTTTTGCAAACAAAAAATAGAAAGTCTGGTACCTTATTATTTCAACTGCTGGTTTTGAATATTTGCACATAACACATCGTATGGATTTATAAAAATTTAAATATGTACACGTCTCACACTGCCATTTTGATACTTTTTCCTCATTTTCCATTTCTCGTTGGTACCAAAAATCAATTTTGAAAATTTTTTGATTATTTTATTTTCATCTAATTTTTTTTCTTCTTTTTCTCACTTTAACTCTTTTCCACAAATGACTGCACTTCCTACACTGCTTTGACTGTCTTTCCAATATCTCTTTTTTGTTCCTTAACCACTTGTTTTCTATTCAAAATAAGTTAATTAACGTTATTATTGATATGCTGAAAAAAATTTGGAAAACAGGATTATCAAATCATTTATGCGCTTCTATTGTTTACCAAACTTACTTATTTACATACTTGTTTTTCGCTCCCTTTCAGACATTTACTTCTCTTTACATTCAAATTTTGCGAAACTGTTGAAATGCTTTTATGATAAATGCATATATATCAAATAATTATACATTATTATATTCTTAGATTTTCACAAATACAAAGGACAGTAAAAATTATTATAAACATCTGAAAAATTCAGCATAAATTGCACAAAATGTGAGGAGAGCTTTAAACCTGTAACGTTTGTTATGATTTCAAATAAGCGGGGGGACAGATTCTACGCTATATTTTATTAATACGTCAACAGTTCGAAGAAATATCTTTAAATTCACGATATTAGCTAATTAATCTACTTTGTTACATGTGAAAAGCATTTAATACTATTAAATTATCTGTCGGAAGTCAAAAAACTTGTGAAGTTTAGACGTCTTAATAGTTAATTCTGTCGAAGAAAAAAAAGTTCCGAATCACAACCAATCATTAATCTAGTAAAAGAACGATGAAGATTAAGGAATTACAAAAGTCAGTGAATGTTGCGTGGTCACCGGAATCGCAAGACCGAATTTTATTAGCTGCCGGTTCAGCAGCACAGCAATTGCTAGATACATCATTTAATAGCTCAAATCCACTTCTTGAACTTTATAGTCTAAATTTATCGGATACTAGCTATGACTTAGAATTGGTCGGTAGTCAACAAAGTGATCATAAATTTCATAAATTAGTATGGGCTCCATTCGATAATTCAAATCAATATCCGAATGGATTAATCGTGGGAGGATGTGAGAGTGGCTATTTAAAAATTTACAACGTATCAAAAATATTGGCTGGTGAAGATGCACTTGTCGCTCAATCTAATAAACATATTGGACCGGTTCGAACACTTGACTATAATCCATTCAAGACGAATTTGATTGCATCTGCAACATCGGAGTCAGAAATTTTCATTTGGGATGTCAATAATACAAGTGTTCCAATGACTCCTGGCCAAAAAACTCAGCCTCTTGAAGACGTTTGTGGAGTTGCATGGAATTTACAAGTTCAGCATATTCTTGCATCGACGTTTGCTACACGATGTGTCGTCTGGGATTTACGTAAGAATGAGCCGATTATTAAATTGAGTGACTCTCAATCTCGTGTTAGATGGAGGGCTGTAAATTGGCATCCAGACATTGCTACTCAATTGTGGCTTGCTTCTGAAGACGATCAAACGCCTGTCATTCAACTTTGGGACTTGAGATATGCAACAGCACCATCAAAGACTTTACAAATTCATTCTCGAGGAGTTTTAGGAATGGCATTATGTCCAAAAGATACTGAACTAATGATTTCATGTGCTAAAGACAACAAAATTTTATGTTGGAATACAAGTTCAGAAGATAATCATGGAGAAATTTTGTCAGAAATTGCCTCTACTAGTTCGTGGTATTCTGAAATTACATGGTGTCCTAAAAATCCAGCACTTGTTGCTGCATCAAGCTTCGATGGAAATGTTTCAGTTTATTCACTATTTGGGGGAGCACAACAGCAAGTTCAAACATCAAATAAAATTGCCGATTCATTTCCTGGAATGGAGAGCATTCCTCAAGAATATTCTACCCAAACGGCTGCACATGCTCAAATCTTTCATGACTTAAAAAGACCACCAAAGTGGTTTAAACGTCCTTCAGGAATTTCATTCGGATTCGGTGGAAAGTTTGTGACATTTAATGGCACCAACAAAACGATTGAAATCAAGCAACTAATTACTGACGAGAACTTGGTAAAGAAATCGACGGAACTTGAGAATGTTTTAACACAAGGAAACTATGTAGACTATTGCAGACAAAAGGCTGATGATAGTAGCGATCAGCATAAGCGATATATTTGGTACTTTTTAAAGGCATACTTTGAAGAGAATCCAACAAGCGAATTTTTAAATTTATTAGGTTTGCTAAATGATAGATGTACTTTATATAAATAATTCAATAAATTGTTTTGCTCTTAGGATATCATACAGAAGACATTGCCAGCAAATTTAGCAAATTCGTTGATGATAAGGACAGTACCTCTAATAATGTTGATGGAGTTACGAACCAAATGGCTCAATTAAACAGGGTAAGTTGACGAAGAAATATAATAATCATTTTTAGCAGACATTGGTGACATAAAGGAATCATATGCCTAACATTTCATGTCCATCATATTTCTTTTTGAAAAATTGTTTTGCTTAGAATCGTTTTTTAATTCAAAAGATTGACTCAATTGATGATCCAAGCAGCGATGCGACTGACTTGTCGGTAAGGAACTTTTCGCACCTAATATCAATTTGTAAATGGACATTCGTTTTGCATGCATTTGTACTTTTTCGACCAAGTTTTTTGATTTAATTTACTTGAACGATATTTAGATTACTTTGGGATATACTTTAATACTTTAATACGACCATTATAATATGAGTTTAATTGAGCTTTTCTTCCTGCATTTTTTTTAGAATCAAGACGATATGAATGGAATAAATGAATCAACTGCTGGAAAAATCCCATACAAACTTTCAACATCTGGATCTGAGGGTTTAATTTGTGAGGCACTGTTGACTGGAAATATTACATCAGCAGTTGAATTGTGCATGAATGCTGGTCGTTCAACAGATGCAATAATTTTAGCATCTTTGGGCGGAAGTGATTTACTTGCAAAGACACAATATCGTTATCTAAAAAACAACGACAGTTTTATTTCAAACTTGATATCGGCAATGGTAATGGCTGATTGGAGTGGCGTTATTTCTCAATGTACTATTGATTCATGGAAAGAGGCTCTTGTTGCAGCACTGACTCATAGTAAAGATCAATCGAATTTGTTGTGTGAACGTCTTGGCGAAAGAATGCAAATGGAATCTGGAGGAGATTTATCGATAATTCAAGACTCAATTCTATGCTATATTTGTGCTGGAAATATCGAGAGAATTGTTGATGCTTGGTGTACAGTTAATGGACACGATTCATTGGATGATTCCGGAAAGTTACAAGAACTGATAGAAATTGTTATATTATTAAATAAAGGAATGGAACGTCATGGACAAAATATTCCAGTTTATGGACGATATGCTGAATTATTGTCTAAATATGCTTCATTATTAGCTGCTCAAGGATCCCTTGAAATGGCATTAACTTATGTTGGGACGTCTTGTGATGATCCACATATTGTAGATCTTCGTGAACGATTATATTATGCATTAGGACATAAGAATCAATCTTCAATAATTCAACAAAGGCAACGATCGACTTCTGGTTTTGGACAAAATTTCCAAACTGGTCCAAGACTTTCTCATCCACGTACTGTATCAACATCATCGACTGGCATGGCAACAAACAACTTTAATGCTGGACTTCCAAATTCATCAACTAATGTTATGCCACCAACAACTTTCAATACAGGACTTCCCAATTCAGGATTAACTAATAATTATGTTGATCAAATGTGGTCACAGTCGCCTGTTCAACCACAATTACAGCCAGTTCCTAAGCCACCAACATTTATGAATCCAGTTGAGAATATCTCTCAACCTCCAAGACCATCGAGTGTTTCAAGTGTGTCTAGTCAATCTAACACAACAACATCAGGTCCACCAAAACCCAAACGTTTACTTGATCCATCTGTTCAATCGAATGCTGGATATGGACAAATCCCACCATCTGCTCCATATAATCCAAACCCTCATTTTAATAATAATCCTATTCAGCCAGCATTTAATACCCAACCTATTAATACAATGCCATTACAAACACAGCCACAAATGATGTCAAGTTGGGATCAACAGAATGTTTATGGTTATCAAAATACGAATAATAATGCTATGAATGGCAATTTAGCACCACCACCGATGCCCCAACATGCTATTAAGAATCCAACACCTCCTCCAGGCTGGAACGATCCTCCAGAATTTAAGCCTAAAAGCCAGGTAAACATCTACAGCCAATATATAATTTTAAATCTTAAAGACTTTCCTATAAAATGACATTATCTTATTTAGTTTGTATCGACCAAAAGTGATATGTCAGCTGTTCATGCTGGCACAAAAAAATGGCTCCAAAAACATAGTGATGGTTACTCTAATTCTTCTTCTACTTCTTCCGAGGTTTGGCTCGATTTAGAATGAACTATTTTTTTTGATATAATTTCCTAGTTCTTATTTTATTTTTCGTTCCTTAATACTTTATTAAAATGCTTCATTTGCGATTTCTTTTTGAGTTTGTCTAAAACAAATTTCCCATTAACTTTATTTCCTGCCATGATTGATGTTTTTTGCATTGCATCAGCTTCCTAAAATACTTAATAATTCTTAGTGAGCAGATTAACCATCATTTTGTGCATCATGAACTTGTGTTATTACTGTCTCTAATATTTTTTTATAAATCTCTTTTTACAGCTTAAGAAAGATGTGTCTGCTGCACCTATTATGCATCCAATATTTGGAGCTTCAGATCCTAATCAAGTGCCTCCAGCTAATAATATGATGAATCCTTTAATGCCAGCACAAAATCAATATGAACAACAATCATATGGAACAGCACAGCCACCAACACAAATGCAACCTACTGCTCCGATGAGTGTTATGAATCCAACCAACTTCTATCAACCTCAACAACAACAACAAATGCCGGATAATAGTAATAATATGATAAATTATCAAAACTTTAACAGCTTCGTTGGGGCTCCACAACAACAGGAAATGCCAGTTCAACCAACTGTTCAGGAAGTCGTGAAAGAGAAGCCACCACTTCCAGAAGAATTCATTTATTTACAGACAGTTTTAGAAGAGCTTAAGACGCAATGCATTAATAGAGCCACCAATCCAGTAAGTTTGAGATTAATTTTTTGTGATAAAATAATAAGTAAACATAAATTTTTGCAGCAAATGAAGCGTAAATTAGACGATGTTTCGAGACGATTAGAATCACTTTATGATTTGTTGCGAGACAATAGGGTAAATGTGTATAAATTAAATTAAAGTTAATGCGTACTTAATATTGACTATTTTCTGTAGCTCTCCACCAACACACTCGAATCTTTAAATCAAATGGTGCAATTAATACAGATCGGTGACTATGCAAATTGTCTAGGATTGCACACACAGATGGTGTCAGGTCCTGAGTTCGCGAAAATTGCAACATTCATGCCTGGAATGAAAATTTTAATTCAGCTTGCTATACAATTACAAGTGTTTTTAAGATAAGCATCTTGTTGCCACTAACGACATAGCTTAATCAAAATTCGATTTATGTTACTTCTAATATTTTTTTTTCTTTCATAAAAATGAATGAATAAGGGATTATTTACTAATGACGTCCAACATTGTGACACTTTATAGATATTTCTTATTCTATGAAAAACGTATGACAGACTTGATTTTGATCGGGTCTGAAAATTCAATTTTTAATCGACATCATTAGTAAATGATCCCTAAAATTGTACTACGATAATGAACATTATTACTTCAAACATATATACTATTATTTACGTTAATTTAATTATAGATGATTATGAAAAATTTTATGTAATAATTCATACATGGAAAATCATTAATAAAAGTTGATGATGATGATGAGTAAAAATAGAAACATTTTATGAAAATGCGTGGAAATGTAAAATTTCCATTTAAGAAATTTACAGATTTTTCTCGCCTGTGGCCAACATAAAGCGATGCTCGACTTTTCTTTTCTATACATCTATTTAGATCTATTTTAAAAGTCAAGAGTTCGAGACTATTTCAGAGAAGATGCACGATGCAAAACTACTAAAGCATGTTTTCCTTATCTTTGGTGTTCATTATCGTGCTATAGACATGTGTAAAACAAAGTGAATTTTAACTCTTTCAGCATGTACGAAAGACAAGCATTGTTCCTGTATATGCTGAAAACCTATTCACTTACACACATAATAATCTTTTTCGTACAGCTTTTTCTCACAGCTATTGTTACTGTAAAATTCATTGAGTATAATCACTTTATTTGCGTTAATTTATAAGGGTCGGAAATGAAGGTTCAGATTGATTCCGATATTTTTTATTATTACTACATGATAAGTATCTTGGTAAAAACAATTAATATTATTAAATTGAGTTATGGAATGTTGCTTGTTATGGTAATTATTCCGCATGCTAAACGTTCTCCAACAGAATCCTCTTCAGTTTGATAGCTGATTCCTAGATCCACAAATTGTGATTCTGGCGTGAACAAGTCTGGATATCTCAGAAATTCTGGAATGAAATAGGATTTGACTATAGGAAATTATTATGCAGGATGCCTTAATTCAAGAATGTTGAATTAGATCTGAAACCTACTCAAAAAACGTGAGCGTGCGTTAGACATGTTTAAAGGTAAAAGGCACACACTATTGCAAATAACTGAATAAAAGTAATGTCTTACCTGATGGTTTTTCATGCACGACAATAGATCGACCCAAAATGCCAGTCAATCCAAATAGATTCAATGCCAAAGTATTAAACTTGATATCAATTTTTCCTTCTTCATTTGCCTCAACATTTCCCACAATGCTGTGTCGAAAATGTGGTCCAGTCGACTTACATCCATCTGAAATGTCTCCAAATGCATGGATATGTAAAGCATGCTTTCCAGGTTTCAGACCAGTAATATTCACATAGACTTGAATTGGGGCATTAAAATTCCATTGTTTGAATGTTATTTCTCCAGACACTGACCCACTATCTTCAGCTTCTGCGTCTGCTTCTGTATTTCCACTTGTTAATGTTGCACTTGCCTTCCAACTTGGTTCTGGCTAAAATTAATGATTTTTTTGATTCCAACACTTGTTCAGTTATTAGGGTTGTGGTTTACGAGAAAATGTATGAATGACAAGGAAGAATATCCAATGAATGAATGAAAGTAAACTCACAAAATTCGATGGAACTATGTCAAAACTCCTTAACAAGTAATCTCTGGCATTTCGTTGGTTCCTATTGTAATTCTTATTAAACACATCCACATCACTTTTCATATCCGCTTTAACAAGCAACGCAACGAAACAAGCTACAGAGATGATTTTCCACAACATTATATCACGAGATCAGAACGAACAATAAGAATATTCCCAGCAAATCAAGTTCTTTTTATATTTGAGTTCTAAATCTTCTTAACTTATTTATTTTAATTGCATGAAATTAAACAACATAATCATCATGATTATCAATCGTCAAGGTGGCATTTGAGAATGATTGAAGGTTCGTAGACTATTGAAAGAAAAAGACATGCAAATTGAAATTTTTCATTCATTAACTTCTATCGATTGTAAGTAAAGCATGCATATGTGCATGACGTGTTTCTTGGAAATCTATAATGATGATGATTGTGACAATATATTTGGAACTTATAACAATTTAAATGCTGGCCAACAAGTGAATAATTGAGTAAAATTACTGTGGGGTCGTTCACTTATTACGTTCGCATTTTAGAGGGGAGGGGGGGGGGGGGGGGGGGGTTGAAAAATTGTAACAAAATGTAACATAGGGGGGGGGGGGGGAGGAGGGTGTCAAGAAGAATGTAACGTTCTAACTATCGTCAGTCTTTTAAAAAAAGTTCATGAAAAAAATTTGAATTATGAACGTTCGGGGGTGAGAGGGGGGGGGGGGGGGGTTGTGACTTGTAACATGTTGTAACAAGGGGGGGAGGGGGGGGGGGGGTGAAAAAAGTCGGTTTTTGCGTAACGTAATAAGTGAACGGCCCCTATGCTAATGCTTTATTAATATCTTGAGCCTTTTTCTTCAGGTATTAGGAAATAAATTTTAATTTGAGTTGTATCTGAAACGTGGACGACTTCTTCATGCTTTATGAGGAAAATGGCAGCAACTCCATAAGCAATTAACGGAATTCCAAGATTAATTTTCTTCATAATTTCAAAGAATTTATTTTCCATATCCAAGTCTTGTGGTGGGTCTGTCTTGGTGCAATGAAATTTTAGATATGGCCAGCACCATGTCCTTAAAATATGATAATTCTCGCCTGTTGGAATCTTCCAATTAAATGAAGTCTTTCCTTTCAAGTCATTTTCGCAATCTTTTAACTAAAAGGAGATTAATTTCCATTAATCTATCAATTGACATGCTGTTCTGACTTACTTTTATGAAATATGATGTCCATGGTGGTTGGCTTGTCTGCATCAAGTACTTTGTAAGCACTTCTGATGAAAGAATTTTTGAATTTAATAATATTTTCCCTAGCTTCATAATTTACAGACTAAAACAGCTTGAAAATGAAACAAAACATTTCAGCCGGCAGTTCCATTTCTCTATCGCTATTTCTTCTTTAAATCTCATTCTATTCTTTCATCGCAATGGTAACGCATCAAGCATAACAAACAATTACTTTTAAGAAAACTTCATTTTAAGTTTTTAAAGGATTTAAATTAAGTTTTTGCAGCCTCAACATGTTTGTGTATCTAAGCAAGAAGGTAACTTAATCCAAAATTTCGAACCATGCTCACAAAATAAATGAATTTCTTCTGTAGATCGCCATTCCAAATAACACAAAGATCAATTGTATATCGTGGGAAAAGAGTAATGGCTTCATAGCAATTGGAGGAGGTAAGATTCTAATTTTTTAAAAAAAATATATTATTAATATCTAATTATGTCTGTTAGACGATGGAATGTTGAAAGTTTTAAAACTTGAACAAGCCACAACGACTACAGCAGCACCACAAAAAGGCTTAGCAGCTCCAAGCAACTTATCAATGAATCAAACCCTTGAAGGTCATAAAGGAAATGTGGTGGTCGTGGTTTGGAATGAACAGCAACAAAAATTGACGTCATCTGATGATAATGGAGTCATCATAGTTTGGACAATGTATAAAGGAAATTTCTTTGAAGAGATGACTAATGACCGTAAGAAATCCACAGTTAAAGGGATGTCTTGGACAAGTGATGGTCAGAAGATTTGTATTGTTTATGAGGATGGTGCTGTAATTGTGGGTTCAGTTGATGGAAACAGGATTTGGGGAAAGGAACTGAAGAATACATCACTTACTGCAATTCAATGGAGCCCTGACAATCGATTGCTCCTTTTTGCTATCAAAAATGGGGAAGTTCATCTATTCGATAATCAAGGAATTTTCATCGTAAGTACCCAACATACCTTCTTAATTAACTATCCTAAAATTTCTCTTTTGTAGTCAAAAATCAACATCCAGTGCGTTCAATTGACTTCAATGAGATCAATAAGTGTTGTTGGATTAAATTGGTACAGTGGATTTACTCAAGGTAATCGACCAGTATTGGCTGTATGTTATGAAAATGGAAAGGTTCAATTGATGAAAAATGAAAATGATGACTTTCCAATTATGATTGATGCTAATTTGCAAATTACATGCAGTCAATGGAATGAAAATGGAACAATATTGGCAGTTTGTGGAATGAAGAATGCAATAAATGAGAAAGAAATAAATCAAGTAATGTTCTTCTCAGCATTTGGACAGCATTTAAGGACATTAAAAATTCCTGGTCGTGAAATCACAGCATTAAGTTGGGAAGGGAAATCAAATTGTAGAATATCTTTGGCAGTTGACAGTTTCATTTATTTTGCAAACATCCGACTTGATTATGTTTGGTGCTACTTTAGTAACACAGTTGCTTACTTAGAAGTCTCAAGCCAGAATCAACAATCGCTTGATTTTAATCAATCTTCATTAATATTTTGGGATATTAAAAATAATCAGACATTCTCAAAAATCGTAGACTTTGTCATTTCAATGTGTGCTTATGGTGAGCACTGTGTAATTGCTTCTGAGACTCACAAAATCATCTCAAAAGATGCAAACCTGATTGTTGAAAATAACTTTAAGGAACAAACCTATATGCTGAATATTTGTAATAGTTTAGGGACGACAGTTGATTCTAAATACGTTGATATTAAGCCACTCTTTATTACAATGAATAATACTCATGTAATCCTTGCAAATCAATCACAGTTCCTTTTATGGCAGTACCATACACCTAAATCAACAATGCATGGCATGAAGCAAAAGAAGGATAAACGTTATCATATTGATGATCAGCCATCAGGTGTTAATGAAGTTTTAAGTGATCTCGATCGTATATCCTACGAAATGCCTAAAACAATTCCTAATACAACGAAAGATCCAATATGCTGCATAACAGCAAGTGACAAGATTTTGTTGGTTGCCAGAGAGTCGGGCACTATCCAAGAATATGTTTTACCAAATGTAGCCATTTGTAACCGTCACAACTTCCCGACCAGAATCTCAAAAATGTCAATCAATTGCAATTCAACACGTGCTGCAATTGTCGATGCTACAGGCCTAATGACAACAATTGATCTTAATGACTTTAATGAGAGACAAAATGAAGCAACACGTGTTGGAAAAATAGAAAGGAAGGATGTTTGGTCAATTTGTTGGGCTAAAGATAATCCACAGTTACTTTCTGTAATGGAAAAGACAAGGATGTACATCTTTCGAAATCAGGATCCTGAGGAACCAATATCATCATGTGGATACATTTGTAATTTTGAAGATCTTGAAATAACTGCTGTCTTATTGGACGAGATTTTAAATGGATCAGCTCCACCTTCTTCAACTGATCAATTGGTATTGAATTTAAGAGTAAAGTCACTGAGAGATACAGAAGAACTTTTACAGCATGTAGGCTTAACAGAAGCAAAGCAATTTATTGAAGATAACTCTCATCCACGTTTATGGAGGCTCCTTGGTGAGAGTTCCTTAAGAAAACTTGATCTCGATACAGCTGAAAATGCTTTTGTAAGATGCACAAATTATCAAGGCATTAAATTTATCAAAAAATTGAGGACAGTCCAAAGTGAACAGATACAAAAGGCTGAAATTGCTGCATTCTTTGGTGATTTCGATGAGGCTGAAAAGCTTTACATTGATGCTGATCGACGAGATTTAGCAATTAGTTTACGTACAACTTTATGCGACTGGTTTAGGGTCATTCAACTGTACAGGATGGCAAGTGGAATATCTGATCAGCAAATGGAAAATGCTTATAAGGAAATTGGAAATCATTTTGCAAATATGAAGGTTTGGGAAAGTGCTAGAGAGTATTATGAGAAGGCACACTACATTGAAGGATTAATGGATGCATTTTATCATTTGGAAAAATATGACGAACTTGAGAATTTAATCGCCAAGTTGCCTGAAAAAAGTCCATTGTTAGGAAAATTGGGTCAAATGTTGGCTACTGTAGGGCTGACTGAAAAGTCTGTTGAAGCTTACAAAAAATCTGGTGATATAAAATCTGCAATATCAACATGCGTAGGATTGAGACAATGGGGATTAGCGCTTGAACTAGCTCAAAAATATAAAATGCCGTCCGTAAATGCATTGTTAAATAAACATGCTGCTCATTTGTTAGAAGAAGGCAAATTGCCAGAAGCAGTTGAACTGCAAAAGAAGGTATGTCTAATATGTAAACTTTTAAAATGTCACAGAACTATATAGTTTATGATTTATTTTAGGCTGGAAGGTTCTTAGATGCAAGCAGACTTCTGGTAAAATTAGCAGAGAGAGAAATTGAAAAGAAATCAAGTTTCTTAAGAATTAAACAGCTCTTCATACTTGCTGGACTATTGGTTGAAGAACATCTTCAGACACAAGCAAATATTACAGGAAGTAATAGAGCAACAATTACGTCTCAAATGATACCAGAAGATTCTGTTTTTATTGAAGAAGTTTGGCACTATGGAGAAGCATATCATTACATGCTATTAGCACAAAGACAATTAAGAGCTGGAGTTTTTCATTCAGCAGTTCTTTCAGCACTCCGTTTGCGTGACTATGAAGACGTTCTGAATGTTGAGAAAATATATTCATTAATTGCATTAGCAAGTTGTGCTGATCGTTCATTTGGTACTTGTTCAAAAGCATTTATTAAACTTGAAGGATTAGAAACACTTACTGAGCATAAAAGACAAGAGTATGAGGAACTGGCAGTAAATATTTTATCACGATATGATCCGAGAGATACGAAACTGGACCAGACTCCATGCTTTGCATGCGAAACGTTAGTGATTGATTGGCAAACATCATGTCCAAATTGTGGATCTCATTTTCCAGCATGCATCGCATCTGGACAATCGATAATGAATCCACAGGTAGCATGGCAATGTGGAAGTTGTATGCATCTTGCAAAGCGTATTGAAATTGCATCGAGAAAATCATGTCCATTATGCCACAGTCTTGTGACTCTTCAACGTACTGAAATTTAATGGAATTAGAAGTTAAGAATTGAAAATACACATTCCGTCCGTTTTGTGGAAAAATTTATTTATTTACTTTATTTTATATTGATGCACGTATGTCACTGTTGTATAGTAATAAATGTTTAATGCAATAAATTGAATTACAACTAAATTTAATGTTTATTCAAAAACGGAATTTCTTTTTCAATAATTCACAATCGGATGTTAGCACACGCGTTTAGTAATTTCTCTTGGCTGCACTTGTAGTTATGTTAATCGGTCCTTGGTTCTTATTTTCAGCCTGTTGTTGTGAGATATTCTTGATATTTGTTTGGACTAATGTTAAGTTATCCTTCCATGTGATGAGTAAATCATTCAATTGTTGCCATTGAGCTCTTCCGAATGTTCGATGCATTGTGCTTGAGATATGAACTTTGCGTTCTTTTTGATCGATTCTGGCACGAACTAATTTTGTCTTCAAGACTTCAATAATGAAAGATTCTACCTCATTTTCGTCAATTTGTAATTCATCTTTTAATTGTGAGTATGTCATTTCTGGATTGCTTTCGGCCAATTGCATGAATGATAAGAGACGCATCTTTTTCATATTTTGTTCGTGATTTAATCCTTGAGAGGTGACAAATTCTTTATGATTTTTATAGAATTGCATGTAGCTTTGAAGTTTTTCAGAGACGAAAATTGATAACAGGTCATGGATGAGTTCGCCTTCAAGGAATCGCACAGGTTTCAATGACAACAAAGGATCCAGTAAAAAGGTATTTGGATCAGCCAAAGCAGTAACAATACATTTCATAGCATCATCGCGAGCATGCGATGCATTATCATCTGTATAAGTTCCAAGTAATTCAATCATGACTTTTGATGCGATTTCACATTGAGTATCCTTAAGGACATCATGTAATAATCTATACAATTTTTGCATTTGCTCTTTTGATGGTGGACATTGTGCGAATTGGCTCTTAATTTCTTCTAATCCAGTAAAAACTTCTTTAACTGAATCACATTGCTTGGCAACTTGAACTAGATGATAATACACATGATATCTCAATGGAGATGACTGTTCAAGATTGTTAAATAAGCGCCATAATGATTGAAGACATACTTTTGACAATTCTATTGTTGGTGCCTTGGTTAACTTTTCACAAAATGCAAGAATCAAATTTTCACCTCTTTCCAATGAAATTGATACCATTATTGACACAATGCTGTTTAATATAGCATCAATTTCCTCCTCGTTTCCATCTTTTTTTAAGCAGATATCGCAAACACCGCAAATTTTATGAAGATCATCCTCAATTCCTTTTGGTGACTTTTCTTCTGATATTTCAGCACCTAGTCCCTTCAAATATTTCCTAATCTCTTGGGCTTGATCTTCCAAAGTTAAATCGATGAAAATGGCTGGTCCTTGCATTGTTCTTACACCTTTTTTTAATTATTTTAACTAGAGAAAACTTTTGACACGTTGTGTAGATTTTTTTTCCCTGAAAATTAATTCAAATTTTTTCCAACCGTTAGTTTTAGGAGACTTTTTTGTTTACATTCTACTCGCTCTTGATAATTTTTCTTTAAAATCAAATGAAACAAATTAAATAAGAGAAAGTAAAGAATGGAAGAGAAAGAATCTATTGTAGCTGCAAAGGATTCAAATACATCCATCGCTTCAGATATAAATAAACTGGAAATTGACAGTCAAAACATCGAAATCTCTAAAGATGTTGAATTAAAGGAAATTAATGAAAATACAGTTGAAATAAATAAAGTAGAATCTTCAAATGATAATGAAGTAGACAAAGTACCGACAACTATTGATTGTGAGGAGTTGCCAAGTCAAAAGAGTGCGAATGAAGAAGAACCCACAAATGATCAGAAAACGAAAAGTTCATCCAGTTCTGAAGAATCTAGCAGCACGGAAGGAACTGAATCATCTTTAATAAAAGAAGAAGAACCACAAAAACGAAAGCGTAAACGAAAAAGGAGGCGTAAAAGGAAGATTGCTGATATAGCTGCATATACTCCCGACGAACCATTTACAAAGAGATATAAGAAGTCTTTAATGGAACTGTCTATGAAGCCAAAATTACATGTGAAGTTTGACGAAAGCGGGAATATAATTTCCTATAAGAACAACTATAAACCTCGCATAATTTCTGCTTTGCCAAGAAACTTAATGGTAACTGAAAACACATCATTTGAAAATAAAGAGAAATCAATCGAGGTGACAAAGGACATTGAGAAGGTTGATGAACCTATTTTACCTGTAATATCACTAAAACCTCGCATAATAAAAGCAATTGGCTCATAATATTCATAAACTTTTATTACTTAATTAAACTAGATGTCAATTATTGACAAAATTATTAAAAAAATAAGAAATAAAGCTTTCCTCATAAGTTGATATAATCATATTAAGTTCACCAAAGTAAATCCAGTGGTTTGTCACCAGTATCGTCAATTTTTGTTAATATCAGTTTTTCAAGTTCATCAGCTAATTCGTCCTCAGTTTTATCAGCATCCACAACTCGCCATAATGGAGTTTCTATCATCCTCTCATACATTTTCTTCACATTTTTCTGTATTTCTGATGTCTCATAACGTTCCTCACCAAAATTCCCCCTTCTTGCCATTGCTTCCGTTGTCAATGTCAAGTAAATAACCATGTCTGGCTTCAAGAGTCCCTTTTCTGGAGCTTTACACCAGTCAAAATCTAGCCCTTTTGCTGCTGTAAATGCCACTCCAGAATAAGAATACCTGTCGACTATTATCGTTGTCCCTAAATTAACAGAATCATTAATAAACCGAATGAAGAATTTTTTTTATAGGTGTCACTTACCAGATTTAAGCTCACTTTCCATTTCTTTTTTTGCTTCCCATCGATTTGCTGTAAACAACAAATGAATTCCTTCATCTGACAGGTTAGTCTTGTTCCTTAAATACTCGTCAATTATTTTCCCGGATGTTGTTTTACGATTTGGAAAATTCATAAATTTGACATTCATGTTTTTATTCTGTAGCCTTTGTACAAGCGTCTTACATTGTGTTGTTTTACCAGCACGATCGCAGCCTTCAAAAACAATTAATGCTCCTCTTTTAATATACATTTTACTAATGATGTCAGTGAAAATAATTAATTTTAATTTATACTCGTTTTTGTTGATATTTTAAGGGGATATTTGAGGATATTATGAAAAGTTCGCGCTTAAATAACTTTTTGAAATTTTTAAAATATTATTTTCCGTTTTTAACGGTTCTTTTTATTTAATTCCTTACACTAGTACATAGTACCTGAAAATATTTGATTAAGAGTTACAGGTAGTCATGGATTGAAAGTCACATAAAATTAAAAACGGCAATTTCTCAATATTTCAAACGTTTATTGAAAGATATTCAAGCACGTGTAACTACATTTCATTTTTTGTAGAAAGCACCTTTAGCACTCGCAGCATTACCATTGAATGTTTTCTTTACGTCAATATTATTCTGGTTATAATTGTGCTCATTTAATCCAGTTGGAGGTTTTTGCTGTGAATTTCCAACTTTTTTGCTGCCTTTACTGCTTTGTGCATTGTTCTTTTTATTGGCATCTTGTTGATTTCCTTTCTTTTGAGATCCATTAGATGGACTATTTTGAGTTCCTTTGGATGGTTTATTTTGGGAACCTTTTGATTGATTGTTTTGTTGGGACTTGGTTGGATCTTTTTGTGGTTCCTTGGTTGGATTTTGGTTTCCCGTTTCAGGATTGTTCGAAAGAGATTGAGGTGCTGCATACGTGGACAATACCACAGCAAAACAGCAAATTGCCAAAAGCGTAATTTTCATCCTTAAATTTTTTGACTGATTGTTCAGAATAGCTTTAATTGACTGATGTGCCACGCAAAACAATTTGACTATTTATAGCATTCGAATCGTAAAAACTTTGTTGAACAAAATTGTCGACATGTTTTCAGACAGGAAGATGTAATGTTTAAAAAAATGTGATCAGACAACACAAAAGAGCATCTGTGTATTTTCACAGTCCATGAATCTAATTATTAAGCTCTTAAATTATGCACCATAAAATTTCGTGTTACTAAATCAAGATTCATAAAAATATCACATAAATTTTGTGTACATGTGTCACATGTTTTTAGCATTGGAACTGGAAAATCATGCAATGAAATGTGTCCAACAATATTCCTCATGCAGATGAAAAACGCACGTGATTTTCAGTCTCAAATTTTCCATTCTCTCAATATGGAATTTCTACGCTCTCTCAAAAAAGTTAAGAGAGAAGCAACATCATAAATTATACTACGAAATTATTACTCAGCATGTATTTCAAAATCAAACGTAAATGTGCAGTACAATAAATCACTTTTACTTGCCATCTTCACGATGATTTGTTTTGCTTCGATTAAATTAGATTAAAGATAACATCCCATCCCTAATATATAAACAATAACACTTTAATTTTTCATCACTGATGTGCTACATTCTATCATTATGTTTGGATGGAGGAAATAAAATCATATCATGTTTTGACCTGACATAACAAGCTACAAAAAATATGCTTCTATATATATTTTATTATATCATAACATCAATCTCTTGTTGAACGCAAATGAGTGAGAAAATGAAGAAGGTAGGAAAATACACTTCAAACATATAACCACAAGTTTTTCAACAGATGAAGTTGTTGCAATTTTGAATTTTTGTATGGACTGATTTTGACATTTTTCTTAAAAACTTTAAATAACTCTGCATAATTCTAAAGTCATCTCAAAATTTGCATTACCTTATTTTGTGATATCACTTATGAATAACTCCCATACAGAAAGTTTAAAGAAACGATTTTATATATATAGATAAAAATTCATGAATGATAGCTCACCTGTTTTCGAGCAACATCCCGTTCATATAAAATATGAATGGCATAAAAAGTCTGTATCCTCACCTTCCCAATTTGTATCGTTTGAAAAGCATAATGAAGTTATCTATAGATGCTCTTGCTAAGATAAATTGACTCATAATAATAAAATGTCTAGCAACATAAATACAATTGCCCTTTTTTTGTTTTCTATTTTCTCCTGTCTATTATTTTCTACTGAAAACTTTATTCTCTCTATCTGTTTCTTTCATTTGACTGAATATACATTTGAGAATTTACACTTCAAAGTTTTTTTTTTGAAATCAATTTCATTATAAAGTTTTCATTTCAACATGTTTATACTTATTCGTATAAATAATGGAGCACATAAAAGAATCATTGGAAAAGTTCAAATTTGTTTTATTATTGTAATCAAGATCCATTTATCATGACTTTTTTTTTTATATTTTATTGAGTTGTGTTTGTCGAGGATTTTGTTAAAGCAAGAGCAAGGGAAATTTTTTATACTAGTGGATATTAGTTTGTAACAAGAGGGGAGGGGGGTCTAAAAAGTCTCATTTTACGTAAAGTTTAAACGAACCCAAAAAAGTTTCAAACACTTTCCAATGAGATGAAAGAAATGAATACAACCCATAAAGCTCAATCGACCGATTTCACAAAGGTGGATAATCCTGGGATCAGATTATCCAATTTATCAATCCTAGGATAATCCATGAAATTTTTTATTACGTAAAACAGCACGATGAATCAGAAAAAAATGGATTTGAAGAAAATAATTTTTTGACGATGGATTTCACAAAAAAAGATTATCCGATTAGGTGGATTATCTAGAGATTATCCTAGGATTATCCACATAATTAATCTAAAATGTTAAAACTGGGTCCCACCAAGATTGAAAATTCGGATAATCTTCAGGATTATCCTAGGATAATCTGGGGATAATCCATGAGGCCGTTCACTTATAACGTCAGGGGGGTCAGCAAGAAAAGAACAATAGAAATTCCAGGAAATCCATTGTTCTTTTTTGAAAAATGACCGATTATTACTAACCTATTAATTCTACGTAAGAAAAAAATTATTGGGATTTTTCTCATATCAAAGAAAAAGATAATCCGAAAATGAGGAGTATCCACCTTTGTGAAATCGGTCGAATGATTTAGTTCCAGTTATTAAATGATAACTTATTCTCCTACGTTTTAAACCTTAAAAAGCATTTTTCACTTCCAAACGTCAATCCTACATTATGATTTATCCAGTAGAAAATAGCTCGATTCCTAAATGAAAAAGACGAGAAGCATGTGAGTTGTAAAAACACAATTCAAGTTTTAACAATAAGCTTCTATTGTTCCGAACAGAGCAACACAAAACGAAAAATTTATGACTTTCACCGATATTTTTGTGCATGCTAGTTGTAGCTTATCAAGCACTAATAATGAGGTTTAACTGTAATTTGGCGCATCTGTAATATTCATGAATACTTTTGTTTGATTTTAAACAGCTTAGCTGAAAAGATGCATCGAAAATTGAACTGTTAGGATTTCGCTATTGTTATGCCATTGCTCCAGGCAATCTAAAGCTTTTAAAGTTGAATGGACCACATTGTGAATAGAAAAACATGTGTACATTGAACCAAATGTCATTTTTGCACCTCAATGTGACGTGTGACAAATTTACTTATTCTTTTTAAAGCTCAGAGGAACGGAGAAACATTTCAACTCTGTTAATTTGACACAAAAGTCGAAAAATGCAACAAAAAGTTTCTACATATTTTGTCGTTGTGGTTTAAAAGCGACAAGACAACACAACAAAATATAAAGTTTAAGGTAATTTAGTGTTGAAGTAAGCGTACTGATAGGGTTTTAATTTTTTCAGCATATCTGATGAGAAAGTTTTTGGGGCACAGAGATAAAGCAGGGAAAATATTTTGTTAAGGCATAATTTGAATTTGACGTGTCATGTGGATTAAAAAGGGGGTCTGTACGTTTACTATAGGAGCAAAATGAGTGAGAAAATTTTAAGGACATACTTTTGCAAAAAGAACAAATTTTAAACAAATTCTCTAGAAATTAAAAGTTTATTATCTAAATTAACCCCACCCCACTCATAATTTTTATTACAGTTTTTAGTAAAAAGCATAAACTTTTTCAGTGAATTAAGGCAAAGAAAATAGAATTCATGTAATTAAGTGTGAAATATATTCATCATCATTTAATGAGTGGACTGTATTTTAATATTATTTTAAATTACTGTAACTTGTTCCTTTGATAAAGTTATTCTCCCCCATTCAGCAGTTTCTCTTAATTATACTGATAAATAATAGAATAAATAAGTGTTATAGCAATAAAGACATCTCCTTTTGACTTTTATTATCATCATTTGCAACGTTGTTGTTAAAGCTTTACAGTTTTTTTTTTGTTTAATTTTCCTTCTATCTGTATATTTAGGCTTTCTTTCTTTCCGTATTATTCAGTAAAGTTGAAATTGAGAGAAGCAAAGGAATTCTTATTTTTCATTTAAAAGGAAAAGGTTGAAAGCATCTTAGACGATTTTTCTGCTGTCACATTGATGAAAAGCGAAAAGGTCAGAAGAGTGCTTCATTATTGCATGAAAACATTCAACTGGTACTAATTAGACTTTTGTTAAAGCTGATGACTAAATTACTTTGGACGAATCATTCAATTGACGAAAAATTAAATTTGTTTCCTCTTTAAATGTTTGCGTACTCAATCAATATGAATGGGAAATTAAAAAGAGTCTTGGATGAAAATTGAAAAACATGCGTGGTATTTAAATTGTAATAATCAAGTTACTAAGACTGGGTGCTTAAAGCGCTGTTCGTGTCATACAATTACGACTTTCAATTCTTGATTCTTTTCTCTTTATCAATTTGCATCTGGTGGCTCTATAAGTTAAGAATGGATGCTGTCATGTAGATTAAAGTGGTAATTTTAGGAAATGTCAAATTAAGAAGTCACACGTTATCCAAGAAACCAATACGAGAACATAGAGTGATTAACGTGCAAAATGACAAATTTATAGACACGAGTGACATTTCCCTCAGTAATAATGCTCTTGAAATACTAATTACAATTCAATGTACATCGTCATAACAATTACAAACTCGATGAAAAATAAAAGCTCCAGCATAGAATCAAAAACTCATTTGTCTTTCATGATACAAATGATGAAAATAATATAAGCTACTCGATTCTGTATATCCTAATGAGCTCCATACAATCACTCTATTTTAAGCTCAACTTCTGATTCGACAACAAAAATCTTATTACAAATTTAATACAAAGCGTTTTGTTGAGGATACATCAAGATAATACTTTTTTCATCTTTTCATTAAAGTAAGTATCTTAAACATCCTTAAAAATTCAAGAAGATCTTGTTTAGAGAGCATGATTGAACAAATTTCATTGATTCCAAACAATTATTCATTAAATACCTGCAAATTTAATTAAACTATTTTTTGATCACAGGAATCAATTCAAAATGGTGAAAAACAATTTTAATTCAAGTTTTAATGCATAATAAGACGAAATAATGGAAATCTTTATTATAAACAGTCAATTTCCTGATTCACTGACTATAGAACGGAAGCTGAGTGAAGTCCTTTGTGAAGCTGTGTGAAGCCAAATGTGCAGTAAATAATTTGGAGCAAATTTATGAGGTTTTGTGAAGCCATGTGAAGTTTTCTGAAACCATGCGATGTTTTGTGAAGCCTTATAAAAGCGATTGAAGGTGATGAGCGGAGTTGGTGTTTAAATTATATGAAGTTTTCGCGGAAGAGTGACTTTAAAACTTAACCTGGCTCAATGGGAGAAAATTATGAAAATTTATTCTTTCATGTTGCAAATCAAGGATGAAGTTAATCGATCAGTCGGATATGAGTCAAGGCATAAGCATTTTTAAGTTAAGGAACTATATCAAAAATCTCAATAGAACTAGGTTGATGCTTTTGATGCATATTTCAAACAAA